ACTGGAGAGGAGCCTCAGGTCCAAACAAAACAGCTGACATGCAGAGTAACAATCCCTACATCACTTGAATACTGACTGAAATGCAATAGGAGACAGGAAGAGTGCAATGATGCAATTTCTATGTTCCTGGGTGCTATAATTATCTGGCTGAAAGCATTGCAACCACGCAGGGAATCACTTCACTCAGAACAATTGCTACACTCAGAACAAAAGCTGAAGCCATGCAGCTTTATTTCAACCAGTCTTCAGATCTCCAAAAATTATGACAAATACAACTATTGTAGAAGCTTCATTTTATCGGCCAACTGCAAGTAGTTTCTAGGCAGATGCTGCCACCTTCTGGGAATACCCCTTATTAACAGGCAATACATTGATGTTGGTGCCATCACATTTCTTGTTCCTTCTAGTTTATATCTGAAATTTGACCTACAGATGATATCCTCCCCCAATGTTTTTTTTAAAGGGGTTATCTTAAATTCATGGTTATTTTGTGTAAACACAGCCTGTAAAAATGTTTGTTTATAATCTGTTGTAAGTGTATTTAGAGGTCACACATTCCAAATTATCAGTGGTCAAATTTCCAAACAAAAACTGAATACAGAACAGATACCAAAGATGAAGAAAGGTTAGTTACCGAATTCTATTGGGCCATTATATTCCCTCTGGCTTTAACAGTGAGACAAGTTTCTTTATGGAGACTTCCTGATGTATGGAGACTTCCATCTCATTTCTTGGCAACAATACATGAAAAGTTTGCCCCTTACTTTATTCTGCTAGAATGCTTCAGCTTCGCCATTTCATCTGCAACATGGTGACCGCCCCTCCAATACTAGTCAGGACAGTTTTTGTGAACAGCCCGGGCCAGCATTGATCACAGTGCTGCCACCTGGCAGAGCTTCCCAGGGATTTTAGGGTTAAATAACTCACATGAAATCTTGAGTTCCAATGAAGCAAATCTGAGCTAAGAAATTTAGTGTTCTTACATATTTGGCATTAAGTAAATGGCAACCAAACCCATCTCAAAGGACAGGATTGTTCCTTTATTTGGTTTGCACTGTTATGCAACTTGCACATATCTGAAGATTAACTATCGTCATGGTAAAATGTTAGAATACCATATTTTGGGCCTTAAATAGAATACAGGTGAATTTAGCATGTGTGTGTGTGTGAGTCCAGCACCAAACACAGAGATGATTAGTGTAACTATCAAACCCAAGTCCTTGCTCAAAGTCAGAGAAGGCTTCTTATACAACAGATGGTAGAGCCTTATCATGGTCTAACTAAGGCATGGATGTGCCACCTTTTGGGGGGAGTGGGCTGAGAGTCACATTTGCTGGCCTTGAGTCAGGTGCTGGAAGAAAAATCTAAACTGGTACAAAAATCTAAATTGTAAAAGTACAATTGAGAAGCAACTTCTGGAATAGCTCTGGGGCTGCCCCAAGGTTCCGGCAAGGGAACTGCCCCAAGTTCCAGAGCTGCAGGTTGTTACTTCTATTTCAACCATCAATTTGCTGAACTCTTTAAAGCAGCACTTTTTTTTTAACCGAAGTTTCAACTTTATTCTCAAAGAGACAGAGAAAATCTACACATATACAAAAAAGGCCACAAAATTAACTAAAAACAGACAATCCCATTTTATTAGCAGTTAGTTCACCAGGACATTACATTAGTGACACAGTTTTCTGAACCCAAAATGAGTTCAAGTACAGATTAAAAATATGGGAGAAAGACTTTTAAAAATATTCCCTCCCCTTTCCTCCCTCCCACCATGAGGAAAAAAAAAACACCCTTCCCAATGGGAAAACATACAGAATCTCATGCAAACATGACAAAAGGAATTCCCAGAGTTCTTCCTTTTAACAAGAAAAAAGAAACATTAAAAAACAAAAGCATCCTTTAAACTCAGATTTTAACAAGTTCTCTGTTACCCCGAGAGTGGTGTTTTCCGACTATTGCCGATCAACTTACTAAGTGAAAAGGCAAATGTCTCCTCCTCTCTCTAGCGCACATTAAATCACACCAGCATTTGGGAGCAGTACAAATTAATACTTTCATTACACACATCCTAAGTTTAATTCTTTTTTGCATGTCTCACTTTGGCAGCATTCTATACAATGTAAACTGCTACCTTCAGAAGCCAAATTCATGCTTACTTTAAATGTTCTATATCATTTTGTTATTTAAGACAGCAGTGCACAGGGATAATCATAATATTAATAATGAGAATGAACTTTTAGGTAGCAGCTACCATTGCCTCTGTAGACTGTCTTTTATAATAACTTCCTGAGGGCCATCATAAAGACAAGCAAGACTATTTTTTCACGTTATCAAATACCTAACTTGGTAGTTTGATTCCGGTGCCCTGGTACACAAAGGATGCACAGAGAAACTGTGCTCAACAATGGAAGTGTATGAGTCCCCTGGTCTTAAGCTGTGAAGGAAATCCCACCCACAAAGGACAAAGGAAAATTCACTGTTTTGCAGAAGATATTACATTGCAATTTCAGGGTTTTGTTCTGTTTTTTTGCACTGCACTCTACTCAGAACGTATTAAACAGGGTTTAAACTCTGTTGCAGAACTCTGAAGCTGTAGCAAAATCAACTCAGTACTATGCCTGGGAGGCAGTTATACAGAGGCCTTTTGTACGCTCCAAGCCAAAATTTCTCAAAGCAAGCTTACCATTTCTGATGTATGACCCATATCCCAAATGGACCAATACAGTCTTTTCATTACCGTGCTTCAGCAGTCCACCTTTCCTTGATGCTGCTCCTGTTTTACAGTGGTTTGGAAGGGGCAGCCTGTCTGACTTTGTGCCTTATTTCTTAAGGCTACAGATGTAAAATGCTAAGATCTTGTCATTCGAAGTCTGTCACTGCATCTACTTTGCCACTAGCCTTCTTCTACATCAGTGTTTTTCAAACATGGCAACTTTTAAGATGTGTGGACTTCAGTTCCTAGAATTCCCCAGCCAGCATGCTGGCTGGGGAATTCTGAGAGTTGAAGTCCACATATGGCAACTTTTAAGTCCACATGGCAACTTTTAAGATGTGTGGACTTCAACTCCTAGAATTCCCCAGCCAGCAGGCTGGCTGGGGAATTCTGAGAGTTGAAGTCCACATATGGCAACTTTTAAGTCCACATGGCAACTTTTAAGATGTGTGGACTTCAACTCCTAGAATTCCCCAGCCAGCAGGCTGGCTGGGGAATTCTGAGAGTTGAAGTCCACATATGGCAACTTTTAAGTCCACATGGCAACTTTTAAGATGTGTGGACTTCAACTCCTAGAATTCCCCAGCCAGCAGGCTGGCTGGGGAATTCTGAGAGTTGAAGTCCACATATCTTGAAGTTGCCACGTTTGAAAAACACTCTTCTACATCAACAGCTGTGGTCCACATGCAGAACAACTCTGGATGATTTGCAGCATAAGGGGCTATTCCATTGCAAGCTAGGTCTGCCAAAAGATGTAATTTTGTTCGTGCCCACCCCCACCCACCCATGTTCATTCTATCTGAAAAAGAAAATGTCTGTCTAGTTAAGGGCACTGGGAAGAAAGGAACTTTTCAATGACAGCACACTTTGCTTTCAGATGCAGCAAACTTTTTCATACAGAAGGCTGTAAGTAAAATACTGTATTAATTTTAAAAAGAGAGATCTCAAGACAATGTCATCTCCCCAAGTTTGATCTTAGACATGCCTCTGTCTCAAATGTACATTCATTACTGGTATAGCTGCCTAAACAAATAGGGAGAATAAACATAATGAAGGTGAAAAGTCACCTGTAATCAACTCAGAGAAATGGTAAGTCCTATAAAGAGGGATTGAAAGAATTCCAAATATTAAGTCTTAAGAGAAGTCTTAGGGGATTTGATAGCAGTCTTTCTGTACCTGAAAGCATGTCACACAGAGACAGATTCTCTGCAATGCAAGAGAGTAGGATGCAAAAGAATGGATTAAGATACAGAAAGGCAGATTTTATTAGGGAAAAAAACCCTAAACATTGAGATAAATTTGAATTTCAGTGGAACCAATTACCCAGAAAACTGGTTGGCTTCCCTTTTACTGGTTATCTTCAAGTGGAGGTGAGACAGTCAGCTACTGGGGATGCTACAGTTTAGATTGCTGCACTAAATGGTTACACTCAATGGCCTATATACAGTGGGGCAAAAAAGTATTTAGTCAGCCACCAATTGTGCAAGTTCTCCCACTTAAAAAGATGAGAGAGGCCTTTAATTTTCATCATAGGTATTTCTACCATGATTTGCAAATAAATTCTTTAAAAATCAGACAATGTGATTTTCTGGATTTTTTTCCCCATTTTGTCTCTCATAGTTGAGGTATACCTATGATGAAAATTACAGGCCTCTCTTCTACCATGATTTGCAAATAAATTCTTTAAAAATCAGACAATGTGATTTTCTGGATTTTTTTCCCCATTTTGTCTCTCATAGTTGAGGTATACCTATGATGAAAATTACAGGCCTCTCTTCTACCATGATTTGCAAATAAATTCTTTAAAAATCAGACAATGTGATTTTCTGGATTTTTTTCCCCATTTTGTCTCTCATAGTTGAGGTATACCTATGATGAAAATTACAGGCCTCTCTTCTACCATGATTTGCAAATAAATTCTTTAAAAATCAGACAATGTGATTTTCTGGATTTTTTTCCCCATTTTGTCTCTCATAGTTGAGGTATACCTATGATGAAAATTACAGGCCTCTCTTCTACCATGATTTGCAAATAAATTCTTTAAAAATCAGACAATGTGATTTTCTGGATTTTTTTCCCCATTTTGTCTCTCATAGTTGAGGTATACCTATGATGAAAATTACAGGCCTCTCTTCTACCATGATTTGCAAATAAATTCTTTAAAAATCAGACAATGTGATTTTCTGGATTTTTTTCCCCATTTTGTCTCTCATAGTTGAGGTATACCTATGATGAAAATTACAGGCCTCTCTCATCTTTTTAAGTGGGAGAACTTGCACAATTGGTGGCTAACTAAATACTTTTTTGCTCCACTGTAGCTATCTCCAACTTTATTATTTTACTCTATGATTCTATGGAACTTCATGACCCACTAGATGGCGCTCATACACAGGGTCAGTGGAACCAATGTGCTGGAGCTCTAGCTCGACTATGATGGACTTCAGAATTGGAACTGAATTCACAGACAGTAATTGAAGAATTGCTAATACTGGTGTGAGAATGACTTTTGTCCTCAACAGAGTGACTCTGACCCAGGATAGGCCTTTGTCCTTTGGCAGCAATTATGGGAAGACAAGATCCAAGTTAAGAAGAAACCTTTCTTGCTTCTGCCTTTTCTCCTTGTGTTCATTCATGGAACTGGTGCTGGTATGATTGCTTCGATGAAAACCAGAACAAGATAACTGGTCTAGCATATTGCTTCCAACAGTTAGATTCTTTCCAGAAATCCTTAAGCAAAACAGGAAGATATTCTGGTGAAAAAAGCACTAGTTATTCCAACCACAATTTTTTAAAAGCTCTGAAAGCTTTTGGATTCCTGACAATCAAATCTATAAAAAATGCTTTCCATTAGAATTACTAACAAGGCTTTTTTTAAATTATAAAAACTATCCAACTTTGGATCAAACGGTAGTCAGACCAGTCCATACTCAAGTGCCTTTAATTTTTCCACTGAGATGTTTTTCAAAAGCCTCTGACTCTTGACACGACCTTGTCTTCCCAGCCCCCTCTGGACTGCAAGTTTTACATGCCTTTCCTATGACACGTCCAGCACACAGCAGTACAGGATTGAATAAGCCAAATGGGAAAAAACTGTGGTTCTGTTTACCTTGTTAATGTGGCTCCAAACACAGACGGCAATGGGCAAGTGTGTGTATGTGTGTGTGTACACAATACCATTAGCAGCATATTTATAAATTCCATACATACACATATACACACAAGTGAACTTAGTAAACTACAACGGGCGGGTTATCATAAATTCTCAGTCACAGCTCAATAGGACACATTAGACAGGAGGAAATCATTGAAAATGGACAGCCACAGACTTACCCTAAAATGGTTCTAAAAGAGATACACGTTATGATGACAAATCAACCAAATCCATGGGCCATTTTTCTCTACTGTCTATAATAGCAAAAGGGTGGGAAAATAAGAACCTAATACTTAGGAATACCAACTCTCATATTTATCCCTACCCCCACTCCAAAATGCTCAAAAAGAAAGATATTAAATACTGCTTGTTCAGTACTCAAGAGGTTCAGTTCTCTTAAGCTGTACTTGGGGTAACCATTAGACCAAAGCCTACACATGATGCTGGAATTTTATCCTCTTTTGAACAGGCAGGATGTGTGTACAGGAAGTAAAGATATTGAACAGTCTTAAACCACATCTCACATAATTGTATGTTGAAACCAGAGACAGGGGTATAAGGACACAAATTAAAGTATCTATTTGGAGCAAAGTCTCTTGCCAACATTGTCAGATGAAGTTGCTCACTCTTATTCATTCCACCCCTTTCCCAATATATTCCTAAATAAGAAGACAGAAAAAAAATATCCATCTGGGATAATCTAAATATTGCCAATACCAAAGTCTTCCATATAAAAACAAAGCATCTGTTTTAACTAAGAACTCTGCTCCAGTACACTATCTCAGTCCTATCTGGGTCTGAGCCCAAATTGCATAATTAGGTCCATGCTCGGAGCATGGCCTCCCTCTGGCTCCATGTTCATACTACCCATGTTGTTCTTTCCCAAACTCACACATGTGCAGGACTATTATTCTTGATCCTTGTTGAGTCCTTGGTTCTCTTGTGTCTTTTATCCGAAGAGAAGGAGTCAGTTTGCTGTAATACTATTCCAGATATTGGAACTAAAGTATGAAGAAAACTCAGATCTTTATGAATCTTCTTCACCAAAAAGTGGCATTACAGTCTAGGAGGTACACCTCAATACTATCAGTAAAGCTGGGCTCCTGGGCAACCTGGCAGAAGTAGATGTAATAGTCCTGGCTTGGCCCTGGAGCACCGCAGTAGGTCTCAGATGGTTGCTTTCTTCCAAGCTGCAGTGTTAACCATACTGGTGGTTTCCCACTGTCCCTCAAACATCTTGAATGGATATTGCTCAAAATGCTTCTTCCCTGTTGAATATCTCACATCTTATCACGTCCTGTTGGCTTGGTGTAGAGGTTTGAGATCCTCCCCATGGATCCATTCTACTATTGCTTAATACAAGAGATAAGAAGTGGCTATCTAGTGTTCTGGAGTTCTTCCCGCAGCCAAGTTGGCAGTGTCTGGCCAATTTTATACAGTAGCTTGGATAGCTCTATGTTGTGGTCCCTGTAATAATCCCTCAAGAACGCTCTTGACTGCAAGAGGAAAGAAGAAAAGGATAATTAAATGCTACGGTTAAATGCAATATAAGATGAAGATGCTACACTAGAGGGGACAGAGAATACAAAGATGACCAAGGAGCAGTTGTCTCACCTGAAAAATAAAGCACATAGCAATAAACCTGCAAAATGTGTGTGTGTGTGTGTGTGTGTGTGTGTGTGTGTGTGTGTATCTACCTATCTATCTAGCCTATGTTTGGTGGCTGAGTATTCAATGAGACACACTACCCCATGGAGGCAATGCAGTGCCTCACTGATAAAATGACACAATTATCCTTGATAAGCCACTTCACATTGTACTGAAGCCCCTTTGATGCCACCAACAGCTGACTAAAAGAATGAGAAGTTACTTCTGTACGTGCACAGCACATGAAAAAAAACCCGTTTCAATTATTGGATGAGATCTTAGAATATCCTAAAGAGCAGCAGCTTTGATTCACTTTTAGAAAGTTGGGGGACATCACCTTATAAAACAGCTTTGAAGGGGTGTTTTGCTTTGATGAAAAGTTGTATAAAGCATCTCTTCAAAGCTCTGCAGAACCCCTGAATGCATGAATTATTAAGCCACTCAAGACATCTCCTCCACTGGCTGCCAACCAGGCCTCCCCTTACAGGAGCCAAGACAGAATGCAGCAATGGTAGCTGCAGAATGCAATATATTAATGCTACCATGTCTTTTTCCCCTGAAATCAGTGGTTAGACCACAATTCTCATTCTGCTCAGGAAAAAAAATGTCAGTGGTTCTGAGATGGAAGTTACTATCCAGTCTGAAGACTGAGGAAATGCTGTATTTTTCTTTTTAGATTTTTTTATCCTGCCTTTATTATTTTTTATAAATAACTCAAGGCGGTGAACATACTTAATACTCCTTCCTCCTCCTATTTTCCCCACAGCAACCACCCTGTGAGGTGAGTTGGGCTGAGAGAGAGGGACTGGCCCAAAGACACCCAGACGGCTTTCATCCTGAGGCGGGACTAGAACTTGCAGTCTCCTGCTTTCTAGCCTGGTGCCTTCACCACTGGACCAAACTGGCTAGTATAGTACAGTACAGTACAGTACAGTATAGTATATATTGTATTGTCTTATATTATATTTTGCAAGTATAAGTATAGTGCAACCTTGGGGGTGGCTAGCACCTTGAAGATGCTTCCGTATGTTAACATCTTACTGACCATCAACATCTTGGAAGATATTATTTGTGTATGTGTTTGGTTTTTATTCTATTTTTATTGTATTTTAATATTTATTGCTGTTTTATTATATTTTGCAAGTATAAGTATAGTGCAACCTTGGGGGTGGCTAGCACCTTGAAGATGCTTCCATATGTTAACATCTTACTGACCATCAACATCTTGGAAGATATTATTTGTGTATGTGTTTGGTTTTTATTCTATTTTTATTGTATTTTAATATTTATTGCTGTTTTATTGTAAACCACCCAGAGTCACTTTTTGTGAGATGGGCAGTATCTAAATTCGATATGTATGTATGTATGTATGTATGTATCTGAGGATATATGCACGTCCTATTAGATTATATAGGGTGGGTGTGTTCCAGGTCCCCTCCCTTAATTGTGGCTACTGATGAGACCTCGGCCATCTGATGGGACCTTGGTGGCACACCTTCTTGGTGCCCCCCCCAGCCCTTTGGAACAGCCTCCCACCTGGGATCTGAAGGATCCCTACCCTTTTTTAGCCTTTCAGAGGTCTGTGAAGACATGGCTCTTCCCCCAACCATTGGGCTAGAATGGGGGTTGAGCTGCAAGGATGATTGGTCTGGCACCTGGGGAGAAGGGTACTTTTGTTTTTAATCATGTTTTTATGGACTGTAGTGACCCACCTAGCATCATCATATGAGATAAGTGGCCATATAACTCCTGTAAGTAAGTAAATAAATAAATAAATGCAAATGTCAAAAAAGTATAGAAAGGAGATTCCTTTTGCCAAAGGAGTTGAGGATAGCCAATCCTGCTTGGTTCAAGTAGAAACAGGGCAGGCACCCAATCAAGGTAGATTATGTTTTCAATTTGGATTCAGCTCATAGAGGGTTCTTTGTCATTCAATAGAAAATAGCACCCAATCTTAGCTGTAATCCTAAAACTGCGAAGTGTAAGATGGTTCTAAACCAATGGAAAAAGATCAGTTTTTGCTAGATAGTACAAGAAAAAAAAAAGATCAAAGGCAATATGTTATGTTGATTTAACCACCTGCACTCTTCCTCCCCATATACCTACAAGTATTCAAATTTAGGGTCTACTTGCTATAAGTATCATGGAAGCAGTTTCCCCTCATCTATGGTGAGATCTTACCCTTCAGCAGAAAAGCTCCAAATTCAGGAATCTTCCTGGTGAGGTTAATTGGTACAGTCTAACTGCCTATCTGGGAAAGACTCATGAGAAATGCCTATGTAGGGCCAGATCTAATCCTGCAGTATTTTGTGAATGATGATCTTGGGGACAAATCTAAGTGACTGGACTACACAGGTTTTGTAAATTCATAGCCTTACTGCAGTGGCATGGAATCTCACCATGGAGGGGAAGCAGCTTTACTCAGCGCAGAGCAAAAGTAAGTGGGGTTTCTGTCCTTACAAAATCAGATCAGCCAGTTACCTAGTTGCCCAGCTGTGCCAGTATCTTCTAAGAACAGCAGCAGAAAAACACCCTTATAAAAGCTGCATTTTACATACTTACATCCAAATCCATCTCTGGGTATTTTCTTCCTTTGCTTTTTCCCAAGCACTTGGTCTTCCCTCCCTCCAACAGTTGGCACCAGAATCCTTTTTTGAGATCAAACCTATCACAAATCACAAAGAAGATGATATCCAAATGATCCATATTTTGTAACTGGAATTACTTATTTTATACATGCAGTAATTACATATAATTAAATATGGAAACTAACTTTCCTGGTCAAAATGAGATCTGTTTTAACAGACATATAGAATGATCAAATTACACTATTACTCTGCTACAAGATTCAACAGCAGTGGAAGGGAGGGAATAAATTCCTATGCTTTCAAATGTCTCTACTAACCTACTAATTCCAATGATTTTTAAATGCATAGTGTGGTGGTCCTGTGGCTAGGCATAAATGACTTCTTGCTTGAATTTAGAAAACACACACACACACACACACACATTTCTATTAAAAAAAAAATCCTGAATCATAAGTCATGCAGTAGGATTTGCACTAGGCAGAACTGTTTACAAATGCAAATGCTCTGAAGGAAAGGAGTTAATACCTATTGATTATAAAATGCCCCACAGCTCTGAACAAGAGAAAGACAATTTCTGTGGATTTCAAAGGGCACTCTCCAACTAAGGCATCTTAACAGTAGTCTGATAACTTGTCTTGTTTGTGCAAATGCACAATATACTCTCTCTCTCTGTCCCCTTCACAAAAAGGTAATGAGACATGGAGAAGTGACTGGAAAGGAGCATTCCTATCCTATCCTATCCTATCCTATCCTATCCTACCCTACCCTACCCTACCCTACCCTACCCTACATCACTCCTCTCAATAATTTTTTTCTCTGCAGGAATTCAGATTCACATGTGGGAAACTCTACCAGGGAAGAAGCTCCTTGTGAATGCATTTGCAAGAAGTAAACAGCAGGGGGGAAACTGATCCCTGAAACACTTTCCCCGGAGTAAGGATGGAAATGATTGTTACTCCTATTACATCCATATGTGTATGATATGTATTTGAAAGAAAACCCACAGTTATGGGGTTAGACATGTTATGGACTGTCAGACATCCAGGCACTAACAGGGTATGTTCAATGTACTTTATGCATTTGCTACAGAAAACAGTATTTAGCAGTCAAGATTCTGCATCTCTATTGCTGCTGAAACCAGGGTAGAACACACTTTTATTCCTAACCACTGAAGTCTACTATAATCCTTTGTCAGGAAGGATTTCAAAGCTTCAGAGCAGTCTTGATGTCTGCAAAATGGAAGGAAGCCAATACCCCAGTCATCCAGACAGAATCAGCTCATCAACTGCCAAGGAGAAAATGCATGCAATGCGAGGGATCCAAACAAGTAGGATAAATATATTCAATATATATTCAAAGATTATACTCAATGAGAGCAGATGTGATGGACTCACGCTAGAGTTTTATGGTAATCTATGATGTTTGTCACTCCAAGAAATTTCTGGACTGTTTCCATTACTTTGGCTGGTTCTGTGCGTAGCCGCTTGCCATCCAGAACAAGAATCTGAAAGACATTTTTAAATATATATGTATAGATGTATAGATCTAGCCCCTTAGGTTCCTCTCTTATACTAAACATACTTCAAACCAACTGCAATATATAGTACTAGGAACAGAGATAGTTTCACTCCTCAGTAATGGAGCAAATCAAAATAATGAATAAATCCACTTCTCCTGTTTTCCCTGGAGCAGGATGGAAGCAGTATTTCAGGGTTGTGGGAATTTGTATTCCATTCCTATTATATCCTAACCCAAGAGCACAGAAGGGCAAATAGCATAAGAAAGCTACACACTGCTTTAACTTAGTGAACAAAGTATTCCTAAACTTATGGTACCACAGTGGGCACACATATGGTATCTCAATGTGCTGACCTGCCCAACTATTTTTGAGCCCCCACTAAAATTTGTTAACTGCCAAAGTCATTTTCCTAAGTTGATATTTCCTAATTTAAACCTAAGATGAAGAATCATCAGTTGTTCCATCTGGCTTAAAATTAAAATTCATTTCACTGATTGTATTTACCAAAAAGAGGATGACCCTGAATATAAGATTATTGCCCCCACCAAAGAAGAGTAGTCAGAAAAAAAGTCATAAACACACACAAAAATAATGTGCAATTCTTAGGTTCCTCAACCTTATGAATTTAACTTCAGCCAAAGCCAATCCCGGAGACTTCCTTCTCTCAAATAAAAGTGTGCATTTATTTGTTAGATTTATATCGTGCCTTCCATTCAGGAGTTCAAGGTAGTCCTCTCTCCTCCCATTTTACCCCACTGCAACCCTGTGAAGTAGGTTGGGCTGAGAGAGAGTGACTGATCCAAAGTCACCCAGTGAACTTCCTTGGCTGAGAGTGAACTTGAGCTTGGTCTCCTAAGTGCCAGTCCAGCATCTTAATCTCTACACCACACCAGCTGTCTCATATCTGTACATATCTCATATGTACCTATATGTACACACACATACCTGTCAGAAGCCTCACTCAAAAAAGGGCAGAACTGGATAAAAAAATAATCAACAACAGATTAAGATTAATTGTCTTAATGGGTATTCCATTTGAAAAAACAAGTAAGCTCCAACAGCATTTGCAAACTATTTTTTTACAAAACAACAAAACAAAACACCAAATACATATACACACCCCTTCCTTCCAGAAACAACAGCCAGAAAGAGATATGGGGGTGGGGGACAGGATGAACAGGAGTTATGGAGACAGGACCTTCAGGTTCCTTCCAGATTTATTCAAATCCTTCGGATGGCAACAACCTATTAAACAACTGAGGCAAACTTTTTAAAAAATTTAATCTAGATTTCAAGGACTAGATTATTTTTCACAATATCAATATTTTAACATGAACATCCCAAATGATAAGATGGAGCACCTCCATCATTACACATCCTATTCAATGTAAAAATAAAACAAAGGCTTTGCACCAGACCCAATTATCAGTTACAGTTTCCAATCAATATTTATAATATTTATGTACTAAGACAGACTTAATGTTAATCTTAGTAGACTGCTAAATGCTCTGCTGTAATAAAATTTACTATATCTATAATATTAATACAAAGTCCCTGTGAAATTATGTTTAGCAAGTTAGTTAAATGCTGGCTGGACAGAGACGCAAGTTAAGTAGAGGCGTGGTTAAGTTGAAAATTGTACTAAAAAGTGCATCCACGGTTCCTCATCCAAACTGAGTAACGTATTGATTGACAAGCCACAAGATTCAACCCCTGAAGCCCCTCAGGGTTTTTTAAAATTATTTTTTATATTTTCTTATTAATGTCTTGATTAAAAGGTGAAGGAAATGCTTCTCAAATTGGCAGAAAGCAGAGTTCTTCACTTACGAAACTGAAATCAAATGCACAAGTATAGGATAAGGAATTCCTGGCTTAGCAGAAGTAATACAAAACAAGAATATTTAGAAAGAATATTTCTAAATAATAAAAAATAGTCTCCTATATTTGCTGATCCCATCTGCTGAATCCCAAAATAGAAATAATCTGACAGAAAATAATATTTCAGATAACATTATAGTTACTACTGATCTGATTTGAAGGTCTAGGCTTCATTTTCCAAATGAACATGAAGTGGAAGCTAGTTACTGTTCCCAAATAATATACAGTGGTACCTCTACTTACGAACGCCCCTACTTACAAAATTTTCGAGATACGACCAGCTCCGGCCCCAAAAATTTACCTCTACTTACAAACTTGCCTCTACTTACGAACCGGATCTGTGGCCATTTTCCCTGCTGCCACGCGGTCACGGCTTCCTGTGGGTGAGATCGCGGTAGCAACGAGATGTTCGGTGAGGCTTGTGGTGTGTTTTGTGGCATTTGGAAGGTTTTTGTGGCGTTTGGAAGGTTTTTGT